TGTTGCACTAGCATGGAGTGCCCCTCTTTTTAATCTACCTACTTCCCCAAACTCTTGCACAGCTGCACAGAATATAGGACAGCATAGCCCACAAAATATTCTTTCTTCTCTAGCTGTTGTTGTTGTTGTTGTTGTTGTTGTTGTTGTTGTTGTTGTTGTTGTTTGCATAATTCTAGGAAAAGAATGGGGAGCAAAACAAAAAGTGAGAAGAGAAACATTTAAAAATAAGCTGAAACTACATCTTTTTGGAAACCATTTTTGCACCTATATTCTTTCTTAGTCTGTGAAGATGTCTTCCTATCACCTGTTTCTTCCTCTTTCCAGTTATTTTATTTGCCCTCCAAACTTCGTACCATCATTAAATGTGAATAATTGTACATCACTACAACATTCTGGTATATATTTCAGGAGGAAATAGTAGCCATAACGTGGGAGGAGGGCAAGTCTGGAAAACCATGACCCCCCCCCCAAAAAAAAAAAACATGAGACAGTGTTTTTTAGAAAGCATTCACACAGTATTATGACAAATGGCTATACCAGCACCATTTAGCATTGTTTCTAACTCTAAAATAAAAATGGAGTATGACCCCCAGTGCCAAAAATATTCTCAAGAATCCCACCTAATTCAAATCTCATCTGCATGTGTTGACAATCAGATAGGTCTCCCTCAAAAAATAAACTTGGGGCATCTCTTCCCTAAATACAAAATATTATAGCACTTAAAACAAAACAAATCAACATAAACCAAATACTATTGATTGAGTCAAGTGCCATTTTCATGACTCTTTATAAAATTTCTAGTAGGAATGCACCTGGGACTAACTGTAACAACAGCAGCAACAATTTCAAGTGCCAGTTCACAATGCCTGGATAGTGGCTTCAGTTCAGCTGGTAGGTTGCAAGTGGTATAGGTTTGGCCTAGAATAATAATGTCTATGATATCTTTACGCACTTGTTTCATAAAATAACAACGCACTGCCACCACTTTGACTAGATTATATTTACAATCAGAGAAGTGATGGAAACATCCATTTTATCATGATGATACTATCAGCAGCAACAGCTATTAATAAAGGGAGGTTTCCTAGAATTTGATAGGTGTGTCATGGAATATGTTTCATCAGAGGACTCCAAAACTATATTTTTATGATCGGATAAGCAACGCATCAAAATACAGCCTTTGGGCCTTCCCATGTTATTGCACTGAAAATCAATTGTTGATCAGTTCTGGTAGAGGATTAGATAAATTCAGTAAAAGGTAACATTGTTGTAATGATATCAAAGATCAGTTGAAATGTAATTTCAAAGTTCTTTTCATACTAGGGACTCTAGCCTGCCAAAAATAGCTGGAATGAAAACAGACAGGCCACAAAGGAGCCTTGAAACAAAATGATTAGTGGGATGAGTCTTCCTGCATAATTATTTTATATCAAGAGAGCCCCTGCTCCTTATTTTAATGCTCCTACTCCTTTATTTTAACAATCAAATATATATCATGAAAACTCTGTGGTACTTAATACCTCACTCCAAGTGATAGCATGATAAAGACTAGCTCCCACTTTC